GTTCTGCGTTCCTTGCGCCCCCTTAGCTTCTCACACTTGCAGCGAGATAAATAGACGAGATTGAGTATCGAGGGAAAGAATATTAGGACAAGGAAAAAACGGTCAAGAAAAAACGTCTTTTTACCTGTTGTTCTCCCACTGGATGTCCTTGGTGCGTGACTAGGCAGCATTACAAGCTTTGAGTTGCGCCCATGTAACCACACTGTGCGCCTTCACGCCCGCGTAGCAGCCTGCGTATGTTCTGGCTTCGTTTGCCTTTTGTAGCGCGGAACCTCTGCGGAGCCCTTTTGGAAATGAAGCCTTGCTGTGTCATGAAAGTGGTTTATGTTTTTTTTTTCCCCAAGTATTTCTTCAGGGTTTGATTGCGGGTTTAGTTTTTGGAATTGTGGAAATCTCCGTTTGTTCCCAACACGAGAAAACGTTTTGTTTTCGTAGATGTTAATTGAAAGAGGTTTTAAATGTAGCATTGCCCTATCCTGAACACTTTGGTTTTTATTTTGTGACCAATCTGCTTTGTTCTTTTAATGAACTTTGATAAACACTGTTGGAAGGTTAATTTTTTTTCAAATGGTATTGAAAAAACAGCACAGTTCAAAACAGGGGGAAGTGTTACATGTTTGCATTTTTTAAAGTGGTATGCCAAGCCTTGCACTTGAGCTAAAAATCAAGATTTCTTAATTGATTTTGAGGGAAACCTTCCCTCTGCTACAGGTATTTGTTATACCAGGACTAAGCCAAAACCAAAAAACGGTATTATGTATGAGTCTCCACTGTTGATTTTTTGAGGGAAGAAAAGTGAGATCAGGTAGTAAAGCAGAAAAGCTTTTCCGCACTGCGTTTAAACAAAATGAAGGAATTTGATGTCATTGGGACCATTCTTTTAATATTATACCATGTAAGGAAGGCTTTATAAGAATACCTTTAAATAAGTTATTATAAAGTTACCTTTACATTCCATTGCTTTTATAATTTGTTAATTTTTTTAGTTGTTTTGTTGCTTTTTCCTCTTCATACGTAGGTGTAACAGCTCTGGCAGCCTGGTATGCCCCAGGTCCTAAGAGGCAGGTACCCACTTCCAGAAGCCGCCATCCCAAATGGTTACTGATCGGCATCGCTGCAGTAGCATCATCCGTGGGTCGCGGAGCCTCCCCAGCCCCTGCCCGCCCCACCGGTGGGCTCACAAGCACATTTGGAATGGCAGGATGCAGGACAGCCACCCGTTTCCTATCTGTCTGTAGGCAAACGAAGGCTTTGGCGTTCAAAGCAACCCCTCTCGGCGCTCTTCTTGGAACGTTCGGTTTGTACAAACAGGTCTTAGCACGTGGCTGTTCGGCGTTCTGCTTCCTTCTACCTCTTCTCTGCCCGTCACTACGTGACTCGCTGGGGCAGCGGAGGGCTGCGTCACTCAGACCGCGAGCGAGGGGTTGGCTTTTGAGTTGCTAGGAATTCACTCCTCCTGCTGACCACGTGCTTCGACGCGTGATCTTCACCCGGAGTGCGAATCGTGTTCTCCCCCGATAACGTAGTGACCGCGTAACCCGTGAGCTCAGCCGTCGCTCAGGTCTGGGAGAGTTTTAGTTTCTGAATCAGGAAAGGTGGCGTTTAGGTGTCTTTTAAGGAAGGTTTCTCTGCCTTCCCGTGCGGCGCTAGGAAAACAGGCTGAAGCTTTGTTGAAAAAACAGAAGGCAAAAGGTGTTTCACCATTTTCCTTCTCTCCCTGTTCAAATACAAGGGAAATCAATCGTAAAAAATTAAGCTTCCTCACCATGCAACTCAATGCAATTAGCATTCAGCAACTTAACAGATTATCTGGCATAAACTCACCTAAATGTCGTCCAAGCGTGACGTATTACGTGGCATTAAATTGCATCCTTAGTGTCTCGCCCATAGAGGTAGAAAGGTGCCTCTCCTTTTCCAGCAAACCCTTCAGGGCTGCCGCGCCACGACCAAGCCGAGAGCATGTTGCTCTCTTATCACGCGAGCAAGCGTGGGCACGGGCTTCAGTTGAATATGTTACATGTCTTCTCGCCCCGTCTAGGAAGAATAATCCAATTAAATGTCTGTTTTGTTCAATAGCTTTGTGTTCGTGGTCAATTTTTAGGGGTTTTTAGTTTGCATTACTTGGAAAAAGCAGAGTATCGTGAAAGACGTATTAATGGGATTCTTCCACACTGTTGTGTCACGTTATTCCGTGTCCGACTGCTGGAGAAACTTTAGTGTCTTATTAAATATTACGATTTCTCCCTCGTTAAATAAGAAGTTGCTATATTTTTTTTTTTTTTTTGTAAAACAGCTCTATATAGTTATTTTTGCACCAATTCTCTTTGAACAAAAACGAGTGAAGCGGTGCGTACCAGGCAAGCGGGGTTTGGCCGCGAGGGGGCTGGATCTTGGGTTTTTGTCGCGAAGCATCGTTTTAAGCTTCTGGGGACGTGATAACGATTGCGCTTCGGCGTGCTCTGGCAAGCGTCGCTTGTCACACGAGTGTTGGTGCTTTCTGCGGCACAGGTTTTCCTGTGAGCGCTGTTTTCGGTTGCTCATGGTTTTACAGGCTTGGCCGACTTTGAGCCGGAATTGCTGCTGTAGGTGGAGTCCCACCCATCCCCTTCCTTTGGGTTTAACTCTCACTGGTGCTGGTCCTGCTCGGTCAGGACTGAATCGGACTGCGTTGCGCTTTTCCAGGCGCGTTTTTCTTGGGGTCTGGTTTGACTTCGTGGGTGGAACCGCCCACGTCTGACAGCCACTACATTTTGGGGTTTTTAAGAGCGTGTCAGAAAACTGCTTTGATGCTAACGGGTTACGGTTCTGCTGACATCCTCTGGTGCTGTGCATCAGGATTGTGTCCTTTCCCTGTTCCTGGGAAAAGCCACGTTTTTTTGCCGGTTGAGAAACTTCATGCCTGTCTACCGCATCGACTGTGAGAGAGACTGCTGGGGAGCAGGTGGGGAGCTCTGCCCGTGCCGTGGAGTTTGGGGAGGTTAGAGGCACTGTCCTTGTTGCTGCTGCAGACTGGAATCACAGAACAGTTTGGGTTGGAAGGGAGCTTAAAGACCATCCAGTTCCAACCTCCCTGCCATGGGCAGGGACACCTTCCACTAGACCAGGTTGCTCAAAGCCTCATCCAGCCTGGCCTTGAACACTTCCAGGGATGGGGCATCCACAGCTTCTCTGGGCAACCTGTTCCAGTGCCTCACCACCCTCTCTGTGAAGAACTTCTTCCTTCTATGTACTCTGAATCTGCCCTTTTCGTTCAAAGCCATTAGCCCTTTCTCCATCCCTACAGGCCCTACTCTCTTCCTGTGAGGTTTGCTGGAAGGTTGGAGTTGCTTTTGCAGCTCGAATATCTTACAGAGGGAAACCAAAGGGACATACTTGTCCAGGAATCAACGGTTATTTTAGTTGCATGTATTCTCCCACAGCTGAGAGGAAGGGGAAAGCTTTGGGCTCCCTTTCCTTGACTTACCCTTGCTTAAAGTCACAGTAAAGTTTTGAGAATGGCAAATACAATAATCGCACGTTCTTAAGGGGAAGCTTATGTGTTAGTTCCTGCTCAGGTGGGAATGACCATTGTATCACGGGAACCTCTGTAACTGGGGCGGTTGATCCTCACCCAGTTTGTTCAGCTGACTGGAGAGAGAAACACACAATTAATTGCTGGGTTTTCTTCCTGAGGAAAGGACAAAAGTATTTCCTTGTGAATGAAGCCAAGGCTTGAAGGAGGAGATTTTTCCCATCAACCCATTTTAGCACAGCAGGCACCTGGGCTGGTCAGCATCAGTAGTCACCATTCAGAAATCGAGTTTTATTTCTCAGCACCCCATTTAGCTATACAGAAATAGGTTGCTCGTGGTTAAACG